TGGAAATTTAAAAACTGGCCTTGTACACAAAATTATTTGTTACAAAACCTTACAAAATCACCCCTTAAACCACTTTGGCAAGTTTTCAGGCTCCAATATTAGTTTCGAGAATTCAGAAGCCATCAGTATTCTGTTTGTGAACTTCAACAACTGAAATAAATGTGGTATTTAGATATATTTATAATTATGAATTGATGTTTATATAACAAATGTGTTTAGGGTTTAAGCTTTCTGCCTACTAGTAAACACTATACAAGTAAAAACCATGACCTAATTATGAGAAAGGGATGCTTTCCTGATTAGGGACCTATAACCTGAAATACTCAAATGACTTTGTCAACTTTAATCTCAGTGCTCAGATTAAGTTTGCAGGGTTGGCATTTAGAAAAAAAAATAAGTTAACTGATCAAATTTGGCATTTAAATTAGTTGAACAAAATGAGCATGGATCTCCAGAATAGCATTTTTGAAATTAAGTGTCTTTTCAGAAGAGAACTGCACTTTAACAAACAAGCAATTTTGAAAAGTGTTCCTACTTAAAATGCCAGGTCGGCTTATTCTGCAAAATATTTATTTGGAAAGCACTTGTCTCATAAATTCCGGCTGACAGGACAGTCAAGATTCAGTTCTTCCTTGTTTAGAATTAAAGGCAGATTAGCTCATCCTTATCTCAGATTTTGTACTACAGACTGTTTTCCAAGCCTAAGGATCGTCTGAAGTGATCAAAATACTACTCTGAAGCATAGCCATGTATGAATTGAAGGAAGAGGTGGACCTGTGCCCATTCTGAAGCAGAGTGGATGAAGTAGATCAGCCTGAATTAAAATCCTTTGACTTTCTTGTACACATGAAGTATTCCAACTAGCACTAGAAACAGTACGACTGGCATCTTTACACTGGACGTGAAAAGTAATAAACACTGTAGAAGTCTTCTGCAACTGAGAATTTATATGTATTTTATTTTTTAAGTCTTCCAAGAAGTTCATCTTGCAATAGGAGCTATAATCAAAGCTTCTGGACAAGAATCATCTCTTTATTATTTCATACAGATACCGTTTATGAAATGAAACCAAATTTGATTTTTAAAAACGTATGGAAGTTGAACTATATTTGAAAGACAATATTGTACCAATCATACAATGGGATTAATTGGTCTTTGAACACTGAAATTCAAGCATTGCATATATTAAGTGTGCCTTTCCAGATAACTTTGTATAAATTAATTTAAAATCGTCCTGCACTGCAAATGATTACCCACATGGCAGACAAATGAGAAATGACTGTGTCATTAATAGTTGGGGGTTGAGGGGGCTGTTCTATTTGTTTTAAGAGATGGAACTACTGATATCCTTGCAGACTGACAGCAGCCCAGCACAGCTGCCAATGTCCCCAGTTAAACCTTCACTCTTATGGTATCACTGTTTCTCATGAAAGCACTGAAAATGTCCTTCACATGAAATGCTACAGTCTCAACAAAAGGAGCACATATTTAAAAAGACGCCAAAAACTCTGAAAAAACATTTTTAGCTACATTTTGTTATACAAATGCAGCACTGAAAATGTTGGCAGATATATTTCCGTTAGCCTTTAGCCTTCCGTTAGGCACTGGTAATTTTGCACTTCTTTGTAATAATGAAGCATTTTGCATTTGTACTAGTGGCAACAAAATAAACTCACATTTCAATTAGTATAAATGTCATATATTCTCAGAAAGAAACAGACAATTGGAAATGTGATGGCATTCCTAAAAAAAGCTGCTTTGCATAAACTGCAGGACAAAAATATAACAAACTTTTCACATATGCAGCATACAAAACTGATCAGCCTGGACAAAATAATACTTTCCACTTCTATAATGCCTGCTGTTCTCAAAGCTCTTCACAAATATTAAATAATATATTTATTTTTACAGATTTGGAAACTATCACAAATTAAGTGACTGGGTCAAGATCACAGGAAGCCTGTGATAGAAGAAATGGAACCCAGACTTTCCAGCTTTTAGCCTCTCTTTTAACCACAGGGCTTGCAAGATTTGTCACCTACTAGACCGAAGACTAAACCTGCTACCTGGGGTGGAAAATACCTGGCTGCCATACCCCTTGCAATTTAAAGCACTGTACTCTGCGCACTCTTTAATGACAACATATCTAACTGCTTTCTGTTAAGTACGTTTAAGAAAGTGGAACCTACTATGTCTCACCTTTGTTACTTTCTTTCCCTTCCTGGTTTCACTCCTCTCTTTCCTTTCCTATAATAGATGATGGCACATTTTCTCCTGTGCTGTCTTCAGTGTCAGCTTCCATTTTAACTTCTCTCCATCCAGCCCCTCTTCTCTCCTATCTATCTCTTTATCTCTACTTTGTTTCCTTTCTTCTCCCACTCTTCCCCCTGTCAAATAATCTTTCTAAATATCACACTAGCCTCTTTTAATTTGCATCAACCTCTCCTTCACCCAATCCCATCACATCCAGGACTGGAAATTTTACCAAACTCCTAATAGCCCGAGAACTATACCTATTAGTCAAAAATTGATACAAAATATAGTGCCCACCATTGTCCAGCAGAAATGCCTAGGTGAGAAGCCAACCACCTCCTCCCCCAGCTACTGGGAAAGCAAGGATGCTGGAATTCCTGCCAGGGTGCTGTCCCAACATCCTGCTCAATGGGTTTCACATCCTTTTCTATCAATCACAAGCCAGTAGGTCTTTGGTAAATCTGTAGCCTGGACTCAACCCATTCTGGTGGCTGGAAGGAAGAAGCATTTTTGTCAGTTACACTGTAGCCCATTGGTTCTGAATAGCAGTAGGATTTACTCAGCTGCCAACAAAGCTACAAGCAGTGGCAAGCTACTTGCAGATTTAAGACTTTGTTGGACAGAGGGGGAAAGTGATGCATGTTTGAGGGATAATCTTCATAAGTACAAGGGCTAAACACAAGATTTTTTTAAATAAAAGTTGAGAGCCTGTAGAAGTTTATGATAGCCACTAGATCATGAAGCTTTTTGAGTTTCTCAAGTCCTGCTTAACCACAAGGCCTATGTCACTTATGAGTCCAACTTTTCTTACACATGTTTAGAAACCGGAAGAAACAGTTTATTTCATGTCATTTTAATTATATGCAAATATTAAAATGAAATACATAACTGATGTCGTGATCAAGCAACATCTTACTTTGGCAACACTTCTGGAAAAGCAGGCAGGTCTTAAGATTCCTCTCCCCCACAGAATGTTATATGATCTTTCTATCAACTTGCAACATTAAGTGTTGACCTGAATTGCTTTTGTAAAGAACACTAAAATGCAAACACATGTAGACTTGCAGGGGGCAAAGGGAAACCTGAAAGAGATGATACTATCAGGAACCTAGAGCTGTGCATGTTTCACAGGAAAATACTCTACTCTGAGTGCTTTTCAACATCAACTCTTGTACTTCATTTGGTAAATAAGTAAATAGATTTTTTTTCTACCTGGTTTTACATTTTACTTTATAGCTTAATTATATAAATTAATTATTTGAATTTACCATGTCCCATAATCAATGTCAAGAGAAAACTAAATTAAAACACAATAAGTTCAAAATGGACAACAGGAAATGCTACTTTATTCATTAACAGGTAGAAACTACTGTTACAAACAGCAAGATTCAAAACAGAACAGAAAAAATAGCATCTGTATTTACACTAGCTAAATATAAATTATAGGGACTATCAAACCTCATGCTTCAGGGTATCTGTAAATTACCGTATATACTCTATCATAAGCCGGTTCGTTCATAAGCCGACCCCCCCACACACACACAAGATGGATAAGTAAAAATGGAAAAATTTTATGACCTATTCATAAAACGACCCTATAATTCAGGGGTCAGCAAACTTTGACTCCCGGGCCATCAGGATAAGCCACTGGTGGGCCGAGATGGTTTGTTTACCTCAAGTGTCCGCAGGCACGGAGGTAAACCTAAGTAAACAAAGTGTCCCGGCGCGCCAGCTGCTTACCCTGACAGGCCGGGACAGCAACTGGTGGGGAAATGTTTTTTGGGGGGAGAAGCTGGGGGTCAGGGGAGTAACCTCTGTGACCACCCCCCACATGACCCCATCCCTAGCCCAGACCCCCCACACTCTCCCCATCTCATCCCTTCCCACCTTATCTGGGGAGGGCCAGGGGAGGATGTCTCTGGCCTGGCTGGAGCTGCTCCAGCAGGCTGGGCAGCACGGCCGCAGCCTGCTCTGGCGGACCAGACTGGGAGGCGCGGCAGCAGCATGTTCCAGTGGGCTGGGCAGTACAGCCGCAGGGTGCTCCGGCAGGCCGGGCGGTGCGTCCACAGCCTGCTCTTGGGGGCGGGGCCGAGCAGCACGGCTGCAGCTGCTTTGGAGGCTGAAGGGAGAGCAGCGTGGCCAGAAGCGGAGAGATTGGCCCCGCCTCTTCCCTTCTGGCTCTGCTGGCTGGGCTGCCACTCCCTGCTCCCTCTGTTGGTGGGAGGGGCTGTGTCCCACCTCGCCCTCTCTATACCCATTCATAAGCCAACCCCCTTCTCTGATGCTTCCCTTTTTTACTAAAAAATTACGGCTTATGAACAAGTATATATGGTAATTACCAATTAGGGGCTGGAGAGATATGTCCCAAGGCACAGCATTATCCATTTTGCCAGATGCCTTATGGGATTGTTTGCCTTCATCTGAAATATGGACTAGACACCACTGACAGACAGCCACGTTGGGACAGTTCAATGATCCATCTAATACACTATTCTATATAAATTTCTTAAGATAATAAAAATTAAACAAAATGTATATGTAGTATAAAGGCAAAAAAAATCGGATAAACTACATTAATAAATTAATACAATAATAATCTAACATGTGAGTCAGGTGCAGTAGGATGCCCCACTGTTTTAATGCCAACTGTCTTTTCTTATCCACACCATGCAAAACCAAACCCTTGTTTTATCTCCTGTATGATTTCAGTAACACATACTGGATGATATAAGTAAAAACTGTCTCACTTGTGAAATATGGTTGATTGAAGATTCCATGCGCCGAAGCTGGGATGCCTGGATATCCAGCATTTGGAGAACATTGTTGGCCAAAGTGTTGATCAGATAAGCTACACTTGCTAAGGACTGGGTTGTGTAGGCTTTGGTTTCTTCTAAAGCTCGCTGTTTATCTGCTGACTAAAAGCAGAAAAAGAAAAAACATTTATTAAAAGGAACTGACAGACATGAAGGTTTGTCATATGAATTGCACTTGCATCCCTCTAAAGGACAGGAATTTCTACAATTCTACCAAATCAAGTCTATCTCATTATATATTAAAATTACTATCTTTCTTGACCTAAAATTCTTAATTACCCAAAAAAGATTAAGTAACGGTACTAGTCAAACAGAGTTTCTTGTTTTTGCAATGAAAGGAAATTTTTTGAAGCTGTTATATAATATCCTGTCTCAAGAAGCCTTTAAAAAATACACTAGTACCACTACTAATGCTTAGTTAGCTCTTACACATGGGTTTGGCAGGATTCGGTTTAAATTGACAGAGGTCAGCAAATGTCAATTTCAGCTGATACAATGAAACGGACAAGAACATATCCATCAGCAACAGTCTTCACAAGTGCAGTCCCCATCCTTCCCCTCTATGCACCTTGCGCCTCCAGGGATTGGGTGTCACTGGCCCTGCAGCAGCACAGAAAGCCCTCATGGGGGCGACTGAGCAGGGCTGTGACAGCGGAGCTGCAGAGGGTTCTCTGATGATACTGAATCCCTGCAAGTCCAAGTTGCAGGGGAAGCTACGGTCCTGGCAGGGTAGAGCAGAGATCCCAACCAGGAGGAAGATGGCTGCAGGGGAGGTCACCTGCTGCTGAATGGTCTCCCCGGTGTCTAGGAGTTTGTCCACCTGGCAGTCCTGGCCAGGGGCATTTGCTCTGCCCGGCCAGGACTGCAGCCTTCCCTGCACTTTGTGCCTGAAGAGTGTTGCAGCACAGGGTGCTATCGCTGCCCTAACTCCCACCCTTAATTTCATGCAACTGTGAAAATTAGAATGGTTAAAAATCAGGGGAAATTTTTAAATAAAAATCATCAATCATCAAAATTGCAACAAAATAAAAGTCGAATTCTGCCATGCCTACTTCTAAAGTTCTTTTCATCAGTAGATCTCAAAGCACTCACCAGTACTTAAAACATAAAATTTCCACAATATTTTTAAATTCATGATTGTTTATTTATCCATTTACAGATGCAAAATGCTCATTACAGAATTCCAATACTCCTCTCTCAACTTTGTGTGCTTTAATTAGATCTTGCAGTAAATGCCTGAAATAATCTGCCAAATAGAATATTCAATTGTTCCAATTATTCAGACCTCAATGGGCTTAAATGGGCTTTAAAAATGGGCTTTAAAATGGAAGTGAGTTTTCACAATGGATGAACTGTAATTGTTTTCCTAAAATGGTAGCAAAATTACCATACTAGAAAAATCACTTTAAAATTATTCAATTAGTAGTACATTTTATAAAAAACCTTAATACTCCTACAAGTTTGAATACAGGCAGTCGTCGGACACAACTGGTTCCTGAAAAATCGTGTCTTAAGTCGAAACGTTGTAACATGATTTTTCCATAGGAACAATGTCTGATCGAGCATAGTAAAGTTGAAACTGATGTCATAAAGTCAAAACTGACATCGGAAAGTCGAAACAGGATGTCAATTTATAAACGTCAATCGTAATTTGAATGTTGTTAAGTCGAGAACTGCCTGTACTCTTCGCTCTCCTTTTTTAATCAGTCCTCACTTTGTTCAACTTTCAGACAACTGGACATGAAAATTTGACACTGAAATATTCAGGGATACCAAACCAGAAGATTACATTTTTAAATGGCAACACAGGCACAGATATTTTGAAACAGATTTAGAATTAATAACTTGCTAAGAACTCATGCCCTCAGGTTCTGCTTTTCTCCTGGAACAGCAGAGGACATCACAAACACCTAAATTAGTTCAAGGAATACAGTTAAAAGCATTGTTTAAGATATGAGAAATGTCAACTGTTGCAAGAGAAACAAATCTGAGATTCTGAACTGATGTCATAAGACTAGATTCTGAACTCTAGTCTTCTATATTAACATATGCCAAAAGATAACAGCCTTTTATTAGGCAATGCCTACTCTCAGCATGGCCACAAAAATAACTCTCAGTGCAGGTACCTTGGTTCTACTATGATTTCAAGTTATTTTTCTTTGTTCGTGCATCAATATCATAAGATAACTGAGAACCAGGACACTGTCTACATTTGTTTCTACAGCATCCAGCAAAAAAGACCACTCATTCTGACCAGAGCCTCTGGGCACTACTGCAGTGATATAAATATTAAATAATACTAAAAGAATTGACTGCTGCCACAGAAAACAAAACACTGAATATTGTACTTCTGTGTGTTTCATTTCTCCCCCCACCCTTAAAGAGTTTCACAAATGGGAAGGCAACTCCCATCCTTTCATGTATTTATACCTGCTCCTGTATTTTCCACTTCATGCATCTGATGAAGTGGGTTCTAGCCCATGAAAGCTTATGCCCAAATAAATCTGTTAGTCTCTAAGGTGCCACAAGGACTCCACATTGCTTTTACAAATGGCCTAGTCTCCATGCCCCAATACTAAGCTATATTTAGAATCTAAAGAAGTTTTGCCGCTCACTCTGTATTTTTCACACAGGTTAATCTTAAAAATTTGATATGTGCCTTTGTTATAGAGATACTAGCCGAATGATTCAGATTCTTATAATGCTACCAAATTGGTCAATGATCCACTTGAGTGCAAATATTTTGTGAAACACTGAATGTAAACCTTGTCTCTCTACTCCAGGAATAATTATTTCCAGGGCCTGAAAAATTTTCTTGACACCCACTTGCCTGAGGACTAAATTTGCTAGCCTTCATGAAAAATACCTATGTCAACATATACACAATATTTCAGTCTGTCACCACCCATCCCCCAAAATCAACATAATACATCCTCCTCCTAGTCTTAGCAGGTTCCTCTTTGCCCACATAGCTCCCTTCTTTCTCCCAGCCTGCTTCCTAGGAAAAGGGATGGCAGCTGCTGCTCAACCACACCAACGACTATTTCCCAGCTCATAATCCAAAGGGAGAAAACACTGGCCAGACAGTTTTTTGCCAACCCAGCAACGGCAGGAATTGACTAATGTATTTGACAACTACTATGAACACAAGGTGGGGTCCCTACGCAGAAAAATGCCATGGTAAGATGTCCCCTCTCCAACTTCCCTTCCATTATGACCAGCTGATGGGAAGTGGGTAGAATGCTGTCTCTAGGGCTTTTCATATCCTTTGGCTAGTGTAAGTCTGATGTACTTGAAGATCCACCCCAACCCACCCCAAGAGAAAAGGAAAGGACAGGAACGGGGGGCAGAGGTGGGAGGAGAGAGAGAGAGAGAGAGAGAGCGCTCTGTCACCTTTCCCCACCCCAAAGCCTTTTGGCTGTAATGGAGATCCACCTACTTCCCTACTCCATTTCCCTGTGAATGACTTCAGCTCAATTTTCCCAAGCGCATGAAGCATTACAACTGATAAACAACCAGACAATTTCACAGCTCAAAAGATTTGCGAATGGCAATAGTGAAACTGTCTGTAATCCTATTAGTTTTATTCTGCAGCATCTTGGCAATTCTATGAACAGAACCAAAAATGCCAATTTGAATCTACACAGAGAACATTCTGGCCAGCTGACATTAGAAATCTCCAAATGCAACAAGGATTTTTAACCATTTCACAATCATTAGCAGCCAAACTTTTTCAGACCAAGAGACAGGCAATTTATCATTTTAAAAACAGCACAGCCTGTGCTACGACTCCGTTGTTAAAAGAGAAATCTATTAATCTATTTTATGTTCAGGGCCAGCTCCTCAGCTGGTGTAGACTGATGTAGCTCCATTGAAGTCAGAACTAAGCCAATTCATACCAATTGAGGATCTGTAGCTTAGGGCTTGTCTTCACTGCAGCATTAGCTCGACTAATAACTCAAGTTCTGCAACTAATCAAATCCCCTCCATACACAAAAATCTGTAGCTTGAGTTAAATGGTGCTTTAAACTCAAGCGAGATGGCCCATCGAGGAAGTCAGTGCTGAAGCTCAACTGCTGGTGACTCTGGAGTAATGTAGTAGTGATGCAACAGACTAAATTACAACCAAGTCATCATCTGCTAATTCAATTACTCTGTGCAGTTGAGATGGTTCAGTGTGATCCCTCTCACTAAGGGCTTGTCTAGCCTTAAAATGCCACAGCAGCATTGCCACAGCGATAGCACTTCGGCGTAGGCAGTGTCTACACCGACAGGAGTGATTTTCCCATTGGTGTAGGTAATCCATCGCCACACCCTGAGAGATGTAGTTATGCCAACTTAATTTTCTAGTGTAGACCAGACTTAAGTGGAGTAACTCAAGGCTGATCTACACTGAAAAGTTACACTGGCATCGCTACGTCTCTCAGGTGCAGATAAGCCAACCTAAGGCTATGGCTACACTAGAGAGCTTACAATGACGCAGCTATGCCGCTGTAAGCTCTCTAGTGTAGCCGCTCTAAGACGATGAGAGAAAGCTCTCCCATCCACTTAATTAATCCACCCCCAATGAGCAGCAGTAGCTATGTTGGCAGGGGAAGCTCTCCCACAACATAGCACTGTCCACACTGGTGCTTAGGTCGGTGTAACTTATGTCCCTCAGGGGGGTGGCTTATTCACATCCCTAAGTGACCTACATTATACCAATATAAGTGGTAGTGTAGACATAACCTAAGTCCCTGTGTAGACAGTGTTAGGTTAATGGTCCATGGAAGAATTCTTCTGTCGAACCAGCTAACGCCTCTTGGGGAGATGGATTACCTATGCTGACGGAAGAATCCCTCCTGTTGACGCAGGCAGCATCTACACTGAAGCACTACAGCGGTACAGCATCTTATGTATAGACAACCTAAGTGAGCAAACACTTGCAGTGAAGAAAACTCCTCAACACCAAAATAAAGAAAGCATTTACACATTTTATATTAACATTATCTTGTAACCACTTTTGTAACTACTTTAAGCACAGAAACTTTGTAATATAATACATGCATTTTTGCAGGCCATCTGTTAATCACAGTATTTTGCTCAGCCTCTGAAACTCTTTG